ATATTGCCGTATTCTTTTTGAAAAAATCCCAAGATAAAGCCTTTCGAATATACATAATTTTAGATTGGGTCCTGGAATTATGTAAATGACAGAAAGGGTTAATGACCCAATCTGTCATTTCTAAAATTAAGAATAATTGACAATTTTGTCCTGATTAAATAAAAGTGAGTAGTTATTATCTAAACGAATCTAGGTAACGTTTATACTATTCTAGTGATTATATGATTAGTTATAGTTAATAACAAGGCATCTTCTCATGGGGCATTCTTGACTACGAAAAAGCGAATAGTTATTCTTTACACAAATCTAGGTAACGCTTAAACCTTTATAGTGACTCCTTAAATTATTATAGTGAATGAATACAAATGAAAGTAAAAGTGAGTAGTTATTCTCTAAACAAATCTAGGTAATGCTTATACTGTTCTAGTGATCACATAATTAGTTGTAGTTAATAACAAGTCACCTTTTTATGGGGCATTCCTGACTACAAAAAAATAAATAGTTATTTTTTACATAAATCTAGGTAACACCTAAACCTTTGTAGTAATTCCTTAAATTATTGTAGTGAATGAATACAAATGAAGACAAAATTGTTAATTGCTCTTAATTTTAGAAATGACAGATTGGGTCATTGACCCTTTCTGTCATTTAGACAATTCCAGGACCCAATATGAAATTATGTATATTCAAATGGCTTTATCTGGAATTTTCCCATTCTTTTTTACTTTTTCAATAAATGTTGAATAATATTATTTTAACAGAAAACTACAACTCCAAACATGAAAAGCCTAAAAGCTAACCTGAGCAGAGCAACTAACAACTGGTCGTTTGGCCAAGTGGTGTGTGCGTGTGGGGTGTGTGCATTGTGGGTTCGATCCCGCCCCTTGTAAGAAAAAAAAAAAGATACAAAATTTTTCTACAAGATCGTGAGCAAGTTTAGCCAGGTGATCAACTATGGTATTACTATCTCTAGAAACATTTAATTACAATCTGTTATAAATAAAAAAAAATATAGAGAAGAATCATACAGAGAGGAAAGAGGATCAACAAGAGAGAGTATTTCTATTCCATTCAAAAGTACTTAATATATTATACATGGTCTCTATTTTATAGGCCACAACTTTATACTTTCAATAGAATCTAATGAGAGATATATGAACATCCACAAAGATATTATTATACTCACAAACACATCCACAAAGATATTATTATACTCAACACCAATCTACCATTTTCTATGAGATAAATTTCTAACATTTTTAGCTATATCCTTGAAAGGGTAATTTTCATCTCAACTTTTCAAAACAAAATTAATAGTTTCAATGCAATTAGATCGAGTTTTTACTATTTGAATATGCTATTCCAGCAAAGATAAAGTCCATGAATGATTGCAGTCATTTTAACAATTGCTGGAGGGATCATTATAAGCTTGCAACTATGCCCACAGACATCACAAGACAACCATTTTGTTCAGATGTATACTCTTGTGTTATTTTCTTTCAACTTTAAACACCAATTATATATTAATAATAAGGGTAAAATGAGAAAAAGGTAATCAATGAGATTGTTGATCACTTGTATTTGAATCCAAAAATCACTTTTGAAGAGGCACTGTAATAAGGACAAAAGGGAATGGTAGGTTGTGGCATATCCTTTGTAAATATACATCATACTGCATGAGTTTTTTTTTAGATGCTTTAATATTTTTTAAAAGTTGTCCTGTTTTTTAAAGAGTTTACAAAGAATATTTGATTTTTAAATTGACAGTATTAATTAGGGGATAAATATGAAAACTTTTTTAATTTTAAGACCATTCTGATAAAGTAGCTAAACTTTTTCAGTTAAATTACTTATGTTTAAGACCATAATTGCACTACAAACTAGCTTGGGAGGTGTTTATAATTCTGAACTCTTGCTCTTGCTTATCGTAGAGTAGTTTCTCCTGTCCATTCCCTCCCCTTCAAGTCAATTGAGAGCCTTCTCTCCTGAACTAATTCACCTCTATGAGGGAAGTCTCATTCCTTTGTTCTTTTCAGCGTTTCGATGAGCACCAATCAAATTTTATTTTTGTGAAGCAAACGTCTGCCCATAAATTCAATTTTAGAAAAATAAATAATGACACACTTTTTCAACATTATTTTTCTCAACTCACCAAACGTAAGACTTATTACTGTGAGGAAAAGAAGACTCAAGGAATATGTTTTGTTGACGAGTTCTTTGTTTTCTTTTTTTTTTTTTTGCCAACTTTGTCGACAAGTTCACTTCAATAATTTTTTGCTCGTAGTTTTTGGTGTTATTGTTTTCTCGAAAAGATATTTTAAGAAAAATAATAAGAAATTCGGGTCCGATATGAAAAGGGGAAATCAACATAATGTCATGGCCACGTTCTAAGCCACTCATATCAAAACAGAAAACAAGAGCCTCATTTTGCTTCGTCCCCAGAAAGTCACAAACTTTCGAGAGAGAATCAGGACGACAAGTCTCTTCTCTTCCCTCTTTCTCCATCTTGCAGATGACTATCTAATATCTTTGGGGCAACACTGAGAAACAGAGGCCATGGCTTTTCTTCTACCTAACCTCCCTTCGTCCCTCTTACCCCAAACCAAAGCCAAAGAAAAGCCCGTCTCTCAAGCCGCGTCTCTTGCAAAACCCGTTTCTCACTACTCTTCTCTCTCTGTAGCTTCGTCTTCTTCTTCTTCTTCTTCATTGAATTGCCTCCAAACTTCCGCTGTACAGGTTGCCCAAGTTAACCCGCCCCCAGATGCTCAAGATAACAAGAATCAGAAAGACAATTTCTATATCAATCTTGGCTATGCTGTGCGGACCCTTCGTGAGGACGTCCCTCTCCTCTTCATCAAAGATCTCAATTATGAAATTTACAGGTTTTTTTCTTCTTCTTACATTTAAGTCTTTAATTTATCTACTGTGTTGTTTTGTTGTGGATAGTTTTTCCCCCTCCTCTGAGAAAGTTGGGATTTTGATCGTTTCAGGGATGACATAACATTTAAGGACCCTTTAAATACATTCACTGGGATTGAAAAGTACAAATTGATCTTCTGGGCTTTGAGGTTTCATGGCAAAATTTTGTTTCGTGAGATTGCTTTGGATGTGTATAGGATATGGCAGCCTTCAGAGAATGAGATATTGATTAGGTGGAACCTGAGGGGTGCCAAGAGTTCCGTGGGAAACCAAGGGAGAATTTCAGGGCACTTCACGTTATAAACTAGACAGAAATGGCAAAATTTATGAACACAAAGTGGACAATTTAGCATTCAATTTTCCTCAGACGCTCAAACCGGTCTCGGTTTTGGATCTGGTCACTGCATGCCCTGCAAGTCCGAACCCTACATTCTTGTGGGCTCCTGCGGATTCATACTCTTCTTCATGGATCGAGTTTTATCGGGCAGTTAAAGGAACATTGGATGAAGACGGTAGGTTGCTACCACAGGATGGTCTAGCTACATGTTCATAGTCATCTGATAGGTGATATATACAATACTATGGAATAGGTTAGGTATAATATTTGGTCAATACTCATATATTATGGGTTTTTGTTAACGTACAAGAGTGTATATAGATAGGCTGGGATGCTGAAGAGTCCTAGTTGCTCACTCTGTTAAGGAATCTCTTCATGATTGGTGAGCTCACACAGTATGACTTACATCTATATGCAATATTCTACAGGGATTCACTTCAATTCTGCCACTGTATTGAATCTTGTCATTTTCCCCCCTTTTGTTGTAGTTGAACCTTGTGGATCACACTTGTTCAGAGGAATCATATTTTCACCTGCCTTGTATTACTATAGTTAATTACCTTTTTTGTGTCCTATGCCTTGAATTCCCATGTTTGAAACCCAGCTTATGACTTTCCTAATTCATTGAGTGTGTGTGTGTGTGTGTGTGTTTCTTAAAGCGCTCATATAAATATACTGATTCAGCATATGCCTGTGGACATGTTTGCCTAAGGTATATAAATATATCTCTGCCACATCCTCTGTTATAGATTGGTTCTTGTCTTGTCTCACGTGACACATTAGGATAATATAAAATATAAAATGGGTTTGCACTCGTTTCCCTTAAACCTAGCGTTTATATCAGGAAACCTGTCTGGTTGGGTCACTTTTTTCTTGTAGAAGTTTCGATTTTCCAGCTCGTAATCTATAATGCTTTTAGTTGTTTGCCATCAAGCCTGTAAATGAGAGTGGTTTCATGGGAAAAACATACTTTGCCGAATCAGCACCATATTATTTGACTCCTTCAGGAAAAGTACTCTTGCATATAATTTTACTGAATAATCTGATAAAAAATGCTTAAGAAACTGATTATTTGTGAGTTGTTGAAGTATGTCCTGCATTTTATGTTCTCCCCCTAATAAAGTTCCTTCATTATCACGTCAGATCATCAGTTTTGCTGGTGTATATTCCATCTTGAGAAATAGCTGTGTTGGGTATCGGTTATTAGGTACAGTGGCTTTTCCAGAAAACAATGATTTTGTTTTAATTATTCTGAGTGTTTTCTTAAGCATGTTTCTACAACTCAAGGAAGAAAATATCCCGACCAAAATGGAATGAAGCAAGTCGGGGTCTTCTATGCTTCGCTTTTGTTCCCCATTTTGGGGTGCTTAAGGTGGTCGTTTCAGAGGAGGTTTTGATTTTCTTTTCTTTTGTTTTTTTAAGGGGTTTTAAATAAAAATTTGTTTAACTTAACTTTCTTAAATTTTTATATTTTTTCAAAAAAATATATAACAAGCTAGAAATGGAATGGAAGTATTATCATCAGGACGTTTTAGCTCAAAGTTCTAATGGATCAAAAGTTTGGAGTCTCCAAAATTTTTTTTTTAATGCTTCCCTTTCTTTTTTTTTTTTTAATAATAATAACGTCTGAATATCAGTTGATCAACTTGTATGTATAGTATAGACGACGTGTATCTTCAAAATTTCCAGACATCTTTAAAGTTCTGAAATAATTATACAGACATACATATATAATTGATTTAAATTTAAAAGAAGAAAAGCCCAAATTTCTTTCAACTATGAAACACTACAACAATGCCTCGAGAAGTTAGTTTTTTGTATTCAATTCCTTTTGTGGTCCATATTCATATCATATGCAGTCACATGCTATGTGGTTACAGGTTACAACATAATACAGTAATTTCTTAGTATATCACACCTATTAGGCTATTACAGAGTGATAGAATTGAAGCACAAATACACAATTCAAATCAGAGGAAGGCTGTCCAACGGTTTCAGGGCTGCAACACCACTGAGTTCAGGCCTTGAATATTTTTCATATGTAACCATGAGCTTTCCTGTTCTAGCTGATTTATGGAACTTCAATATCATCTCTGCACAATCCCTGCAAATGATTATGCAGTTAGCATAACTAGGATTACCCAGAATCATAGAAGTACCAAAACTTGGGTGAAGCTAAAATGTTAAAAGTTATCTGCTTCGTCAATTTTGATCAGAAAGTCAACAGCGAACATGAAAAGAGTGAAACTAAGTTGGGTCCAAGAGAATATAGAATCGTGCCTTAATTGGGAGACTTCATAACGAGCATGTTTCTGAAGCAACGGAGTCCACGGGGGGTTAATTTGCAGGGTGCAGCGAGCAACATAGATTGCGGATGCACATAGCAGCGAAGACTTGAATGCCAAGGCTTCATATTCAACTAGGCACAGTTCAATGAGACAGAATGCCAAATGTTCCAGCTGGGGCAAATATTCAACAAATGGTTTAGAGAACCAAACATTTTGTCCTGAATGAGAACATTAAACTACAAATAAAAGCTTTTATATCTTCATTAACTATCATCCTTCAAGCTCTAAAAAGCAACTACGTCGCAGGTCCATATATTACACACAACCTAACGCTATAAGCTGTATCACTCATTGTTTTGTGAGCAGTGCGGCTTCCAATAAATACTACCCCTAGTTCTTAATATAAGATTTACTTAACTAATTTGGGTAGATTAAAAAAACTAATTAAATTAGTTATTTGTCAAAAATATGTGTTAGTTTTTTTGAAAATACCATCTTAAAATATTTGTAGGAGCACTGCAATCTCTTGTATTAGTGATAGGAAATTGTGTGTGTGTGTATTGATGTCAATTTGACATCCTAAATTTCTGGCCAAAACAAAAATTGACACCCTAAATCGGCACCATCTGCACGGAACATTTATGCTGCATTAACATACCTTCTTGTCTGACTGAGCAGCCTTCAAAAACCTCACCATGAAAACATAAGGAGTGGGGCCATTAAGACGGAACTTCAACTTTCTAAGAATAAGCTTCTCCTGAACAGCAAAACAACTGCAGACATTAGAGTCTGGTCATGGAAACTTTAAGCCTATCCCTCAAACAGGTCTAGAAGTTCAGAAAACAGGGAAAGAAATAGAATAAGAATAATAGACAAAGCACAATTTTTACTTCTAAGGAATATATACCAACACGCAACAAATCCTTGCACGCAATTACCTGTGGTTGAATAATAGAATATGCTTTATGATTTTTTGGGGCTCTCCATTTTAGTTAAACAGACAAGCAAGCAGATTTTCTAGATCAGCATAAAGTTGAGCGAGTGACGAAGAGTCGTGCTCATAAAAAAGGCCAAAAGAAAGTAAGCTCGCATACCATTAAAAGCATTTGTTCTCTTGTATATGATTCAACTGAAATGCTTGTCAAATCGTTGACCTAAAACAGATAGAAAGAAAGGACACATTACTATCAATCCCGATAAACCAAGCAATATTTTATTCAAAAGAAACGAATGATGGAGAAACTGATTCCTACCGGAGGATGCCAAAAATCCTCATATTTTGAGGCCAGCAAAAGTGCAGTAAGACCAACTAACTGCAATTCATTCTTTTTAATTGTCACTAGAGATAGATATTGATCCAATAATGAAACGGTGAGATACAGGGTTTCCGGCATCAACTCAAATTTCAAGTGCACCTGTAAAAGCCGGAAGCGAGAAAGCAAAGGAAATGAACATGTATACCTCAGACAACGGAAAGGTAAAGGAGATAATATATTGATTTAAAGCCAGTTGAAGGTTAAGGGAAAAAGGGAAGTACTTCAATTAACCAGTTTATTAATATGCCCCGCATATGAGGTGTAATGTCTGTCTGAATTGACATGTAATTTGCCAGAGCCGAAGTTTGAGCCTGAAGATAAAAATAAATTGAGATTGGATGAATTTGACAGTGTTTAAAAAATTGTTCAAAAAAAAAATACTTCAGTTATTACTATAACTTGAGATAGGAAAATCTATCATAGCATGGAAAGGAGAAAATCAAAAAGGGATAAGCATCTTCAGGTAAGTTCATATTACCTCAGTGACCCAATAGTACCGATATATTTCATCAATATACTCAGAAACTTCTAGTTGGTTGCATTCATCGTCGATATTTGGTAGGTTATCTTGCTCAGTTATTTCACCGCTTTCCTTGAGAAGCTGTAAGATTAAGTCATTATAACTAAAATCTATATGCTAAGTGAAAGAAATGTAGCAGAACGCATTAAGCATCAACCTTAGATCTTTCCAGTAACAAAGTCGTATAAGATTTCCGACGGGTGGACTTTTTCCTTCCAATTATCTCTAACGAATTTTTTCTGGAGTTGCTGTCTCCAACAGATGGAAGCTCCCTTTCATTTGCCTCATTGGAAACCAGAGGTAAATTATTCTCATGGAGAGACAACGCAACTGTTTTATCATCCTGTGATGAAATTGCAGCAGCTGATTTGGACTTAGATTTTGAAGTCCTTGTAGCGTTAGAAGCCTTAAGTGTGGTCTTTACAAGAGGCTGCAAGCAAGGCCAAGAGCAGGTAAAATAGGTGGATACTCCAACATATTAAGAAAGATATCCGGCATTGGATATTATAGGCAGACTGGACAATAGACTTTGATCACTAAAGTGAAGATCACCATGCTTGGCAAAACTCATCACTAATCCATGTAAAACATTAAATGCAGCAGCTAACTTATCAACGTTGGCAGACTTGGACATAGAGCCAGGAGAAAAAAGAAGTTTTTTCTTTTTCTACGTTTATTCTTTCCCTTTTTATAAGTTCATATTACTCAAGGTGTATTCTCTATTTGCATACCTTAAGTTGTCTGCAAAGTTTTTCTACTTCAGTTACTATATATGGTCTAACTTTTTATGCTACATGCATTACTAGAGTGTTATGGCAGGGTAAAAATATAGAAGAGAAACTAAGCAACCAAACAAAACAAAGCACAGATGGTGGGGCAATCAAATCAGGAAAAATAGTTAAAAATACAGCTAACATACCTTGATGGACTTCCTTGAGGACGTATGTAAAACATTGGTTTTAACCCTGGCTCCCGGATTACTGCATGAAAATTATCAATTAATGACAAGCAACCTATCTTCCAGTCCCCCAATTAAAATAAGTCAAGCAAGTCAGACTTCATAGTCATCAAACTATATTGCATATCAAAAAGGAATAGTGGGCACCTAACAAAAAATAGAATAAAATAAACAGGCATACAGGCGTATCAAAAGGAATTTAAAATTATAATATAAAATTTACAAAAGCATTCTCCAAAGACCAGTGTTTGCAAAGAAAAGAAATGGTACATATGCAAAGTTGCTAGCAAACAAAACTTATACAATCCACATAAAAGCTTCAGGCGCTATTATAACTATCACTCACATATGAACATGGCCATCGGTCGCTCGAGTCTTCCTTAGATGGCTTCTTGCACTAGATAATTGGGGGCCAACTTTTCTCACTGTTTCTGCCTTGTCTGAGAAGGTAAATAGTTTAGACAACTTAACATAACTTAGTGTCATGAAATTTATAAGCGTCTATCTATATCCCAGCTTCTTACTTGGTATTCTGCTTATTTTCTCTGCAGTATCAGAACTTCTAGCATTACCCTAAAAGAAAACAGAAAAGGGTGTAAATATTTTAAAACAAAATGACAAGGATCTGAAAATCTAAATAAACCAAGTAGAAGAAGGACAAACTGTAGTGATCATATAATACAAAGATGAAATAAATTCCAAATCAACTATAACAACCTTTATGTTGCTCATGTCTTCCTTATTGACCCCCCTTGGCGCTGGTAAAGACCTCCTTCAAGAAAAGCCAAATGATGTGTCAGTCACATTTAAGTCTTAACCTATTCTGATTCTGAATAAGAAATAGACCTTGTCACTGTTGGTAAGATAGACTTCCTCACAGTCCTGAAAAAGCAAAGTACTTGAGACCTTCAATATCCAAGAACTATCTAGCATAGCATCATCATAATAATTGAGAGATAAAAGATATATGACCAGCAGTACCTGCCCTCAGTTGCAACAGATGATCTTCCGCCATTTTTATTAATCTTCTGAGCACCTAAGGGTGCCATTGAACTAGTGCCTACTGTTCACCACACAAAGGCACACATTTAAGTGATTCCTAACCAGGAAATATAGATTAAATTATCTAAGGAAAAGCAAATCACCTCTCTTGGAAGCATCTAACTGAACTTCAACTTGACTTATATTCCTTTGCAGTCTCCCCTAATATGCAGGAGGAAAAAATATATATATACAAATTCGGTAATTTATAGTTGTAGGCCTATGATTCAATCGAGTCAACCAGTAAAAAGGTGCTCTACCAAAATGATAGTAGCTTATACGCTTTTTCACAAGAGTATATAGAAACAGGAAGGGGAACAAAAGGGAAAAAAATCAATCTATGGATGAATCTCCTACTTAATAAGCATATTTTGACATGGCATATCACTTACAAAAACCGAAAAACGGGCACTCACTAACTAGAGCATTCTGCCCATTGTACATCATCACTGAATTTGTAAGACTTGCTTTCGTCACTCTTGATTTTAAAGTTCGTTAGTAGGATTCCAATTACAATTCCAGTCATTTTGTCAGTATGCAGCAATAAAAGGTTAAGTGAACCAAATATTCTGCTAAGTAACTCAATAAGAAAGAAAAGACCAACATAGATTTAAAGAAAGTTTAAACAGATATGACTAAGCAATTTTCATACCGTAAGGGACCTCCTTGAAGAGGCATCGCTTAACTTGCTGCCTGTACTGGCTAAAACCCTGGATAAGCATGTAAGAAATGAAACATCAAACAATGGAGTATATGTTCGGAGGTAAGGGAAGCAAGCGATGTTGAAGGGAGTTAAAGTCAGATAAACCAAAAATACCCATACTCAACATTACCAAAATACCCCTTCTAACATTACAAAAATACCCATACTCAATTATTTCTACCCAGAATGAAGAGGATTCTCACTTCATTTTAGAAGCATCCTGTTTAATGTTCCTGGAAGAGTTGCCTTGAATATTGCTAACATCAGCCAATGCCTTTCTCGCTTTCATATTTGCTACAAAAATAAAAATAAATAAATAAATGAAAGCGATAAATCCAATCATCAACGTGGTTCTGTCTAGATTTATTCACAGCTTTTGTCTAGTTATGGCATACCAGAACTGCCGTATATGCCACTGCTTTTCTTCATACTTATGAAGCCGCCCTTCAGCATTAAAGGTACAAAATAAGTACAACCTTGATATGGTCATCAAACGCAACCCAAACAGCAAACTCGCAGATATCTTCTGATTAGCTACCGAAGTTATAGAGTATTCAGAAAGTTCTGAGACATATTACCTTTGAATTATTGGCAGTATTCAAGATACACCCTCTGTTAGCTACCAAAGCACTCCTTCTACATAAGCCATGAAGAGATGCAAGACGTTAAACAAACAAAGTTAAATGAGGCATATTACCTTTGAATTACCGCACAGCTTTAGATCATTATTTATCAATTAGAGGAAGGGAGGAACAAACAAAATCAAATGACAACCTCTATCAGTATCACATATGATACGATTTCTTTAGAGCATAGATGTTCACTCTTTTCCTAGGGTAGCAATTCCAGATTTTTATGTAAGAAAACAAATCATACCTTGCATGCACACTGGCTTCTGTTGCAGTTTTTCTGTCAAAGGACCAAAATTAATACCCTATCATTTGCCTATAAGTGCCCAGGAAGAATGCATTTTCAATCACTAACAGAAAAATGCTTACTTGAGCTCTTCATCGCCTATTTTGAGATGCTCGATGTCCGATAAAACCTTAAAATTTCTACGGTCCACTGTTATCTCACCAGAAATTTAAAAAAGAAGCAAAAAAAATCAGTCTTGCAAAATTGCAAACTCAAAAAGGCAAGAAATCTTTAAAACAAATTATAAACACCGAATTAACAGATACCATTTTTACAAGCTTGGCCATCTTCAAAGACCTGGGTTAAACCCACTTTAGATTTTCCCTGCAACTTACGAAAATCACACAAGAAATTCGAAAAGGAAAAAAATAGCATAACCCAAAAACAAGAAATGAAATCCAAACGCATCCTGTGCACCTTAACAGCTGCCATAGCTTTCCGATAACCGCCCGCTCCTAGTGATCTAAGATTAAATGAATGTCTACAGAAACATAAGTGGAACCATTCGTTGAGGATTCGAATGGGTATTGCGAAGCTTCAGTAACAGCGGAGAAATTCAAAGAGAAAAAGAACAGTTTGTAATGTAAATGGGAGAAACGGGAAAATCTGAATACGAAAGAGCGCCTCTTGTGCCTTGGATTTGAAATGAGATGCTTTTACACTTATACCCTTCGCCGGAGGAATAAAAAACGTGGGGAGAACATTTTAACAAAACTTGGCCCATGCAGGTCTCGAACCTGCGACCTTCGCGTTATTAGCACGACGCTCTAACCAACTGAGCTAATAGGCCAGTTGCTTGAGGTGGTGACCCTAAATTATATATTATATAACAGTAACCCCTTACATGCACCAGCATGCCCAAATACCCTAATGATTGCATAACTTGAAAAAAAAGCTGAGCAAAAATTAATAAAAATAGTATGTAATATATAATTTTTGAGGATTTTTTTTCCAACTGGCTATAGGATATTGAGTTTTTTAAAATATTTAATATACGTTAAAAATCCAAAATAAAATTTATGGTAAATATACCTATGGGGAACATTCCAACTATTCAAGGACATAAAGCTTTTAATTATAGACTAAAAAGCATTTTTCACAATCAAAATTATCATCAAATCTTAGGAGACAAACGAAGCAAGTCGACAATTTTTTACAGTTAGAAAATTATAAATATTAAAAAAGAAAAAAGAAAAGTGAGAGTCAATATAAATTTTTTAAAATTACATTAAAGAATATATATGATCTTAGTCATAAAATTTTGAAGGAAAAACTATTTTAGTGTAAACTAAAATTTAAATCACAATCATTTATAATGCATAATTATATAAATATATATATTTAAGTGGGATGAGTTAAGTGAGGATAATTAAGAACAGGTCCGCACAAGCTTTAGGACGAATTAGTTTCATATCACAATATAAGGGTCAAAAAATGCAAAGAAAACTTTTCAAAAGAGAAATAAAGACACACGACCTCAAAAAAGAAGATGGCTTTAATATGCTTTTTGTGGGATAATGAAACAAATAAATAGGAGTTTTTGGAGGGGGAATTATGTCATAATGTCGCCACATTGAGTTAGCCAGTTAGACTAATATATAAATAATTAAACAAATTTTCTAATTAGTTTAGTCAAGAGTTTTGGATAAGACAATCAAATTAAATTCACCATTTTTTCCTCTCCTTTTTGAGTTTAAAACAACATCATCTTGAGTTAAGAAGATAGTGATCCGTCATAATTATATTTGAATAATTCTGTTTTATTAAGTTATATGTGGTTTTTACATGAATATTTTATTTACTCATGAATTAGTACTTTTTTTTCAAATATTACTCTTTAGAATTATATATAAATATTTTAATGTATTTTATTTAAATATATGATTTTAATTATGATTAGATTCATTGCCTCCCCCAATGAATAACTGTCATGGTTGAGTACATTTTCTTATGCTTAAGCAACCATTGAACCAATCTTAGCAAAATGGCTTTCCTTTTAGGCTTTGCATGACTCCATTGTGTCCTCATTCTCTTTTCCCTCTTTGTATGTTTGTTTTAAGTGGCAACTTATCACATCTTTTCATACCATTCATGTCCCTCTTTTCCTCCCTTTATATTGAAATTACTATATTACCCTTCACCTTCCCCTGAGATACCCCATGTCCCTATCTCCTCAACCAGATATTTTTCTTTTCTTGTGAGTAAATTATATTAGTTCTGGTCCTAATGACATATTACAAAAATAACTGCTTTGTTTAAATTCTATGCATTTTCACCCCTTTTTGTATTGACACCAGTGCATTTGAACCTAAACACTGAATTTTAATAGCCAATGATTTACCATGGAGATCAAACCTACCAGTAAGGATTCTATAATTTAACATTTTCACTAACTTATCCCCAATATTTCCATGTACCCCACCCACAATATTCTTCTTTTGTCACCCATTGCATCTGAAAAAAAGGGCGGCGTCCTGTGGGGTGCTTATCTGAATCTACATAAGATTTAATGTCATTAATGTTTATTCATTTTAAAAATATGATTATGTCTCATTTCTTATATTGGGGGTGCCAAAAACAAAATCATATGAAAGAAAATGAACGGTACCCATGACAACACGGAGGTTAATGAGTTGATTTTTTTTTAATAAAAAAAATACTCCTCCAATCGTTAATATAGGACCTAATTGTTGACTTGATTTTAATCATAGATATAAGACTTATTTCTCATATTTATCAATTTTTTCTAAATTATCCCTATAGATACTCCCTCAACCATAATAAAGTAGAAGAGTGAAGGAGAATATTAAGGAAGATAATCTTGGTGTTTTAGAAAAAACATATCATATTTTTTATAATTAATTAATTTACCTAACTTCCTTAATCTAATCAAATTAGTTAAATAGGTCTTATATTAAGGATTGGAGGAGTGTTATATACAATCTAAAATTATAAAGGGGTATTTTAGTAATTTAATTATTTTTTAATTTTACTCAAAATAATTAAGTAGCTCTGTTTCAATTAAATTTTAAAATATTTAGCTAAAATATCATACATTATTTTTAATAAATTGGATTACAATACATAAATAATTAATTTTTTTAAAACAACGAGCCATTTTGTGCAGAATCATATGACCCATAAAAAATGTTGGAAGTTCAGAAATTACTTGTATATATATGATTTAAAGCTTATGAAACTTTTCCATGCTGATCATTTATAGCAGTTACTTTTTGATTAATTAAGCATTAATACTTAATAAGCCTGGCCTTATCGCATTAATTAGTTCCATGTAGCTGTACAGAATATATATTAATGGCATGTCCTGAGCAAAGATTCTCACAATATCAGCCTCCCAGAGTGGCTTCCATTTTCCTTCTTTTTCTCTGCAACCAGAGCCAGTGATTCAAACTCAAAACTCATTCTCAACGCAACAAAAAATCATCCGTCTTACTTCCTCTTTCTCCGTTAATCTCCTGCACAATGGTCGTCAACTTTCAACCTTCTTCCTCCTCCTCCTCCGTCTTCAAATCTCTCTGCCTTTGCACGTTTCTCGTCGTCGTCGTCTTCCCCAGTACTGTGGCTTCTTCTTCTTCTTCTTCTGGTTCTGGGGCAGGCTGTTCATGTGACCTCTCAAAAGCTACGAACAGGGACGATGATGCAAGTGAAGTTCTCAGATACAAACTCGGCTCCATAGCTTCCGTTCTGATCGCCGGTGGTCTTGGAGTGGGCCTTCCATTGCTGAGCAAGAAGATCCCAACTCTGAGACCTGAAAATGACATGTTCTTCATGGTGAAAGCTTTCGCCGCCGGAGTGATCCTAGCCACTGGGTTCGTTCACATACTTCCTGAGGCATTCGAGACCTTGAATTCGCCATGTTTAACAGACAATCCTTGGCACAAGTTTCCCTTCACTGGGTTCGTCGCCATGCTGTCCTCAATAGGAACATTAATGGTGGATTCTCTGGCAACTGGGTATTACAAAAGACGACATTTCAGCTCAAAACAAGTTCCTACTGATGAAGAGAGGAGATCATCATCATCATCATCATATTCATGTTCACACTCATGCGACGCACGGTCATGCTCACGGATCAGCACAAGAGAACTCTGAAACATCAGAGTTAACCAGGCACAGAATCATCTCACAAGTAAGAAACCAAATCACATCAGTACGTAGTTCAATAATATAAGTAATCAGTTTGTTTTACTTTTGGAAAAAGAGGGAGAGATTTGATGTGATTCTTAAGAATAGCTATAAGTTTATGCATAGAGATTTAATTTGAAATATTAATTGGTGGGTTTTGATCAATGGGCGAAGGTGTTGGAGATGGGAATAGTGGTGCATTCAGTGATCATTGGAATCTCTTTGGGTGCTGCTGGCAGCATTGATGCTATAAAGACTCTCTTAGTGGCCCTCTCTTTCCATCAGTTCTTTGAAGGCATGGGCCTTGGTGGTTGTATTTCTCAGGTATTCTACTCCTTTATTCACATATATATATATATATGTTATGCCACTTTATTACTAATAGAGTTAGGTCTAACAGAAATGACTAATTTTTCACAACATCGTGAATCAAGATTTAAATATTTTTGTTGGAGCATGTCATTTAGGTAATATGGGTGTTTTCTATATGTTTTTTAAATTAAATTATGTTAAACTAGATATTTTTCATAGTAGATTTTAGGATAAATCACACTATATATTTATGGTTTATAAATAATATAATTTACTGTGAATGTTGAATCTTTTAAATAATTTTCTTACAAAAGTTTATTAGAACACCAAATACGTTTTCTTGACTATTTTCTCTCAAAGATGTTGAAATCTCAGTATGATGTCGTGAAAAAATATTATTATATTTGATTTTTCAAAAAAAAAAAGGTGGGGATTTAGGTCCATGTATTCATTAATCAGTAGAGTCAATGAGTATAATGATTCGGTCAAACATAAACTAAGAAGTTAAAGCAGTATAAATTGTTACTATTAAATTTTCCTCTTAAAGTTGGACATGACTTGTGAGCCAACACTGTGCTTAAAGCTGAAAAGATAAATAAGAGAATGGGCTGCATATGTTGCCATCATGACAACATCTTCTTTCCTTATTCCTTCAATAAACATAGTTACCAACTTTGCCTTAAGAGTAAATTCTCTATGTTACTTCAATAAACATTATTTTATCTCCCATTCTTACTTTTATGGAAAAAGAAATGATAAGTTTATGGTAACTTATATTATCATTTGGTTGAATTGTTGTATATACTCCTTTCGTCCTACTTATATAAACAAATTCTTCCAACTTACTTTATTAAAGTTAAGAAGAATCTTATTAATTCTGTCTTGATTAAAATTTAATAACTTTTTAATTTTACTCTTATTTTTTTCACAATGAAGGGTGCCACTCTGATCTTAACTAAGTTACTTGTAAGAAAAATTTTCAATCCTGAATATAAGTCACTTATAGGTAGTTAATGATATTTTTTAATTTTACTCTTATTTAATTCTCACTAGAAAGAACAAAAGAGAGATGTGAAAATGATTTGTAAATGTAGATGGTGAAATTTTTTTGATAAGGGTAAATTTAGAAAATTTTATTAATTTAATACATTACTTGGTATGCGAAAATGTATTCCAAGTGACTTATATTAAGAATTAGAGTGGTATAATGACATATTTATGTGGAAAATTTAATGATGCGTCTTACATATATGACGGGAAAAATATGCTTTTTTATATCTTATAAATAGGATCAGAAGTATATTCTACTGAAGTTGCAAATAACACTTGAATGTGTGCATAGGCCAAGTTCAAGTCAAGGGCGACAGCAATAATGGCATCATTTTTCTCCCTAACAACACCAATTGGGATAGCAATAGGGATGGGAATTTCAAGTGTGTATGAAGAGAACAGTTCAACTTCTTTGATAGTAGAAGGCATTTTCAATTCAGCTTCGGCTGGCATCTTAATCTATATGGCTCTGGTTGATCTTCTTGCTGCTGATTTTATGAGCCCTAAGCTTCACAGCAACCCGAAGCTCCATCTTGGAGCTAACATCTCTCTTCTTTTTGGCTCTGCCTCCATGTCTCTCTTGGCTAAATGGGCTTAACACCTTCTTCTTCATCTGATGAGATCATTAATTTTTCTGGTCTCTGCTTCAATCCCATCAAAATGATTGTGTTGATGGTTTCTAATAAAAAACCAATTAACACACATTTTGCTTCTGAGATAAAATGTTATATTTTTAGTTTCAATATCCAAGGATGATTTGTTTGCTTAGCCTCAAGGCATTCCATTGTATGAATAATGAAAATATATTTCTTTTTCAGTGTATATTAAATATATTCATATCATGTAATGTATATTTTTTCCCAGAGTTTTTTACACCTAAATACATAATTATCATTTTTATCTAGAAAATTGGACTCCCACCCTATCTCCACGTAATCTTTATTCTTTAGTATATGGAACAATGTTCTCTATCTTTAGAATATATCTAAATATAAGACAAATTCTGAGAATAAAATTAAGCATCCAAAAATTCAAAATTTGGTCTTCGACGAAATGATCAAGTATATATGTCCACAAAGGGGCCCCTTCAACTTTAAGCTTATCAAGTGTGGCCCCCAACTTGAGCTTGTCTTGTCAAGTAGAGCGATTAAATTAGATTTCAAAAGAGAAAAAAAATTAGTTTGGTATATCTGTAGGATATTATTAAAAAAAAAAGATCTATGCCACGGCGATTTATCAATAATATGATTTATTATAGTTCTTATTTTCCCACAAATTCAAAATTTTGTCTTCGATGAAATGATCAAGTATACATATACATGTACACAAAGGGGCCACTCCAACTTTGGGCTTATCAAGTGCGGCCCCCAACTTGAGCTTGTCTGCTCAAGTAGAGTGATTAAATTAGATTTCAGAAGGAAAAAAAATTATTAGTTAGGTATATCTTCAGGATATTATAAAAAAATCTATCCCACAGCGATTTATCAAGAGTAAACATGCATCTAGCACTCCAATTTTATTTCTCAGGTACATCAAACACCCTGATCTTTTATATAGTGCATTCAGCACTCTGATTTTATTTTTTTGGTGCGTCTAGCACCTTAATCTTATTTTTGGTGCATCTCGCATCCTAAAAATTAAAATGCTAAATGTAACTAAAAAGTTAACAGTAGGGTGCTGGATGCACCAGGAAAATAAGATTGGAGTGCTGGATAAAACATATAAAAGATCAGGGTGTTAATTAAATACACTTATAAAATAAGAATAGGATGTTGAATAGACATTTACCTATTTATCAATAATATGATTCATTATACTACCTTTGGTTCTTAATAAAAGACCTCGTTTGATTTTTATTTTAATCATAAATATAAAATCTCAATCTATTTTGTTTCTCATATTTATATTTTTTTTCAAGACAGTCCTTCTGCTAGTAGTAGTGCTAGCCAATACACTTAATTAGCAATGATATTTTAAAAGAGACAAAATCTATTTATTACAAATAACTAACTTAATTTATTTCCTTAATCTTTTCAAATTAGTCAACTAGCTCTTATGATTAGGACCGGGCGTAGTAGTTTTTATTTTATATTAATATCAAATTTAAATTTTTCCATAATTTTGCTCCGCCATCTTTTCTTATGCTGGATGAATTATTTATCCCTCGTTTTATATAAATATAGCAGAGTTGAAGAATAACTAACATTGAATGATCAATAGAAGCACCACTTTTAGTGCCCGTTTAGATTGATGTGGAGAAGTGACTTTGTATTGTACAGATAAATATGAATATGTGAAAGAAATTTCATTTCGTAAAACATAAAAACACTTATTTTTAGCCGATGGCATACGTAGTATCATTGTATCAGTTCAACCGTATATATTTGACCCAAGAAATGGAATAAGTAGCCAGGAAAGGCATCAACGTAGGAGGCATAGAATGCTGTTCTGTGTGATAAGAAAGAGAGTGAACATGTCCATTGCACATTGTTCGGCCATGGCATCTCTGTGTTCTGGTCAGGCTCAGTTCTTATGCATGCCATCCATTTACGGACGATACAGTTCAATAATATTCTCACCACTGTTCAAGCCGTATCCACATAGAAAAGTCTAAACCAATTCTAATCTCAGACAATGACAATCTAAACTAAGCAAACTACATGGAAACCTAAACTAAAAGCTTACTTTTCCTAAAGCATCTTCACTAGTACAAGGATCACAAGAACCATACAGTTTCTGGTAATTTTTATACATATTAGCAGAAAGATTTGGAATCTGCTTCACAGGTATCTAATGCTTGTCCTGCTTCAATCCCTCTTTGTCACGCCACTTACACACGGTGCTTCTTCTTGCTGGTGCTTCCATGGAAGAAAAGTTAGACAAAACCCAGCAGAGAAAGACGAAGCTTTGAGTAGAAAGCAAGCAAACCCACAAAAGGGGCATAATAAAAATCATAACTTTAATCTTTTGCCATGGCTAAGCAAGCATCTATACCCACACGGAATGAGCATACAAAAGACATTGCTCAAAATGATCATACTGCTTCCTTCCCATAAATAGGCCTTTCTCTGGTTTTGTGTGCCTTTTTTAAATTTCATTCATTCCCTTTTATGTGTACATCTTGAAGCAAAGCATGAAGTCCCAGAGAATCACTTTAACTTCCATGGTTCTAATTACTCTTCATTCCTTCTTTCTGGGCAGTTCTAGGGCTCTTCCTACTCTGCAATACTTGTTATAAAACCCCACCGTTGTACTGCGTTATTCTGGTCTTTACAAAGTCTCATATAGCAGCACAGTTCATTGCACTGAGCTTTAAGCAGTAACTGAAAGAAGCAGAGGTGAACTGAAGAATGAGAAGTTGCTTTCTTCTTCTCTATCTGACTCTAGCGATTATTTCTCTCACTCATTGTGGTATGTCTACTATCTCAGGACTATATCAGATTTATCTATTTGCTGCACCCGATTTGAATCTTTAATATTGATGGGTTTGATTTCTTGGAAGTTTATCTTTGCTCATTTGTCTAAACTGGACTCTTTGAATTTCCCAATTTGCAGATGCAGAGAGATCGATGAGAATATCAAAAGGTACAAAACATGGGAGAATTCTGACACACAAGCACATGAAGAAGTTAAGAATGGCGGTCAAGCATTTTGATCTTTCTTCTTTTGAGTTTTCAAATGCACAGAGTGTTGACTCATCATCTCCTTTACCACCTTATGAATCTCTGGCTCCTATTCCTTTGCCACAAAATAGCCCACCGTTTTGTTATCCTCCCCCACCTCCGATGGGCCTTCAATTACCACCTCCAGGCCCACCTGGGTCTCTTTCCACACCAACCCCACAAAGTATCCCAAACTCGCCCGGCATGGGTTCACCATTACAGAATCCTCCAATTATTATCCCAGGCCCACCAGGTAATATTCCGCCCTCACCTGGGTCCACATCAGGCCCACCAAATACTATCCCATCCCCAGGTGGAGGCACCGGTCCAGGCTCGCCTGAAATACAAAATCCTCCCATTGTGCTCCCAAGCCCTTCTGGATCTACGACGAGCCCACCAGGTGCTATCCCATCCCCGAGTGGAGGCACTGGGCCCGGCTCGCCTGAAACACAAAATCCTCCGATCATTCTCCCAAGCCCTCCTGGATCTACAACAAACCCACCAAGTACTATTCCATCTCCGGGTGGAGGAACTGGGCAAAATCCACCTACAACGAACCCACCAAATGCAATTCCACCTCCAAATGAAGGTAATGTTCCAGGCTCCCCAGAACCAATACAAAATCCTCCAATTATTCTTCCAGGCCCGCCCGGGTCAACCATGAGCCCGCCCGGTACAAACCCATCTCCCGGTGGTGGCGGCGGCGGAGGAGGCAGTGTTCCCAGCCCAACAGTGTTTGAGCCTCCTGTAGTGTATCCGCCACCTTCAGTGCCTCCCCCTCCCAGGCGGATGGCCCCAAGTGGAGCCCTATGGTGTGTGGCTAAGCCATCAGTCCCGGACCCAATAATGGAAGATGCTATGAACTATGCCTGTGGGACAGGAGCAGATTGTGATCCCATTCGGCCCAATGGGCCTTGCTTTGAGCCCGACACTGTTATTGCACATACTTCATTTGCCTTCAATAGTTTCTGGCAAAATTCCAAGGCTGCCGGTGGGAAATGCGACTTTGGAGGCACTGGCATGCTCGTTTCAGAGGACCCAAGTGAGTCTTTTATTTCTAAGAAATTTGAATTCTATTGTTATAAATATATACTAATTTATGTTTGAAGTAATTTATGTTGTTTTGTTTTTCCTTTTTGGCTTATGCGCAGGCTACGATGGATGCCAGTTTGTCTACAGATAATTGAGAGATTCTTTATGCAACTTTTGGAGTCTGCCATAAAACAACAACGAACACACCAGTTTCTTTTTCCTTCATTTTTCATATAATCTTTATTTGGGAAATAAGATATTTTTGTCAGCTTTAATTTTCTATTACTTTGGAATTTGAAAGGGAAAAATTACACCTAGATTTTTTTTGTAAGTAGTGCAGGATTAATGGCTTAATGTCATTGATTAATTTGTGGTCTTTTCATTTGTAAGTATTGTAGGATTGGGCATCATTAAATGGAAGTTACTAAATAGAAGGTGGATGTGTAGAGGGCATCGGAATAATATTGAAACGTAAAACTATATATGGTTTCAACATGATTTAATAATTACGTCCTGTAGCAACAATACGTATACCATGCAATTTTTGTTTTATTTATAAATTATTTTTAAATAATTCACAAGTATTGACAATTAACCATTCATAATTTTTCAAATATTATATCAACTTTTCAAAATTATTCTTACACTAGAATTAATCTATTTTATTAGCTTTTATGCCCACATTAATTTTCCTTTTCAACAGTCAACACCTTGTTAATTTCTCTTCAGCTTAATTATATGAAGGGAAAATTTAAAAAGAAAATTTAAGACAATATGTATTACGTTAATTAAATAAAGTACTAAGAAAAGCATTTATGAAGATAGTTATGAATAGGACCTACGAGATTATCTATTTATCTTATGATTTTCTAGATTATTAAAAAACATATTATTATTTTTTAAATTCATTTTAATTTATTTTCGTAATTTTTTATGAACTATTTAATGTACATAATAAAAATGAAGCTAATTTTTTCAATATAAAAATGAATAAATTTTTTTCAATAATGAAAAGTCAATCATTTTTATATTTCAATCAAGATAGAAGTAACTGGGATATACTAATTTTTTTTTTCTTTTTTTTGGGTGTAAATAATACAAGTTTTCAATCATAAAAAAGTATAAGAACGCGCAAGCTTAAAGGGTTGAGAGATAAGCGGTGCGGAAAGCCAACGCTGTGGGCGGGTGGCAGTGCTTCCATTCCAAACCCAAATTGTATCCAACTGGGCCCAATGGGCCATTGTTTTTTTGGTACCCACAAGTATTTTTCTATTAAAGATAATTCTATTTAAGACACTATCAAATACTAAATAATATCATTATCTTTATAAAAGATACAAATTAATAAGAGTTGGATCTAATAGAAAGAATAGTCCCTCATAACACGGCGAACTAAAAAATAAATTGTTTAATGTCAAATTGCGTTTATGGCTTTTTTGTCTTTTATTGAAAATTTAAAATTTTTTTAACGAAAGAAAAATAAATTGATATTTTTCTTCTGAAATCGTCATTCTCCCTAATTAATAAATATACTACCTCCGGTCCTTAATATAAGACCCTGTTTGACTTTTATTTTGGTCCTAAATATAAGACCTCAATCTACTTTATCTCTCATATTTATCTATTTTTTTCCAAGATAGTCCTTCTTATAATTGTAGTCTTAGCTAAGACAGTTGATTAGTAAAGATATTTTAGGAAAGAAAATACCTATTTATTACAAATAACTAATTTAACTTCTTTTCTTAATCTCCTCAAATTAGTCAACTGGGTCTTATAATTAGGACCGGAGGTAGTACATTTTTATTTTTGTGTAATGGAAATTTACCAAAGAGGGCTAAAGAGGAATTTGAATGTAAGAATTTGCATGGATTCAAGGTCTACTTGGGACTAAGAATAGAAGTATGGTCATATGTCAAATTTATTTGAGAACTAACAATATTACGCACTATCTATATAATATATATAATAATGTATTTACAAAAAAAATTTTTACTCATAAGTTATAAATAGCAGAACTCACTTTAAATTCCATATGAAATATAAAATAATAATGAGTAGTCAAAATTATCGAACAGAAATATGATTAATGAAATTACAGTCAACTAGTCAACTATATATAAAGAATAAAGGGATGAAGGAATTGCTTTATTGTCAGCTGCCAAATTAGACCCAACCTAAGCGGCAGCACGTAATTCCATTGAGATAATAATCGGATACAGTTCCATTAAGATGAGCATAGAATTCCATTGAAAGGTCATCCGATAAATTTCCATTAAGATGAGACTTAATAATAGTCTTTTTGAGGAAAAAAATAGTAAGATTTGATTTTTTTAATGAATTTTTTTGGGGCCATTTTTATGACACAAGTTTAAATGAGTAGAATGTTGAGGACTTAAAAATGTTTACAAACAGCCGTACAAATTACTAGCTAACAAAATATTCATTTTAGTAGCTAATAGGAGTTATTCCAATAAAAAGTCAGTTCATAATCCACAAAGTTGTGAATTAAAATTTTTTCATGTTGGAACTTATCTCGGCATGTTGCTTGCTCGTTAAATATATATTTATATAGTATATATATGTGCATGTAGTAATAATTTGGAAAAATAGTAAAAAAAAAGACAGTGAAATTAGAAAAATTACCAATTAGGACCCATGACAATATTAGTATGGATTTTGACAACAATTTTTGTGAACCGGTCCTTGTGTATAATTTTTCTAATTTCACAGTCCTTTTTTGTGATTTTTTCTAATATTTTCTTCACATACCACCAAAAAAAACATTTCAAACTACTGTCTCTAATTCTTAATATAAGAGCTAGTTAACTAATTTAAGTATATTAAGGAAGTTTGATAAGTTAGTTATTTGTAATAAATATATGTTATCTTTCCTAGGATATTCTTACTAATCATGTGTATTAGTATAATTACTATGTAATGAAATATTTAACATGTGTAATTATTATAAGGATTACTTTAGAAATAAATAAATAAATATAAGAAACAAAATAATTAAGATCTTATATTTAGAATTAAATTGAATGTCAAACTAACTGAGAACGTGGTAACATGATCTTTCAATCATGCCCATGGAAGTCTAAGTGGTGATCAAGTATAGTGTGAGAATATAAGACGGTTGCCTTAATAGACTCAACGTCACTCCGTCGCAACCCACAAAGATCCGTAGACAACCCAAATTCCAAAAGCATTTCTGTGTTACTTGCAGGATTTGTATTTGACCATCACCAATTCACTGATCAGCAGCCAAACGAATCTTGTCCATAGTTGATTATAAAACTCCACCATTACTTCGTCTTCTTCCCAACAACAAACTCCATCAAGACTCAGATATAGATCATGGAGATTCAGATCTTCTTCACCTTGTTCTGCTTCCTTCTTATGATATACAAGCTATCAACTTCTAAGAAGCCCATCAAAACCTTACCCCCAGGCCCATGGAAACTACCTTTTATAGGAAACCTTCACCAACTTGCAGGCTCGTCACTGCCTCATCATTCTCTTAGAGACCTTGCAAACAAGTATGGACCCATCATGCACCTTCAGCTAGGACAAATTTCCAGCATTGTAATCTCTTCGCCTGAGTTGGCCACAGAGATCATGAAAACCCATGACCAAATCTTTGCCAACAGACCTAGAATTCTTGCCGGTGAGGTCTTCGCTTATAATTGCACAGACATAGCCTTTTCGCCTTATGGAAACCATTGGAGGCAACTTCGAAAGATTTGTATGTTGGAGCTTTTATCTGCAAAGAGGGTCCAATCCTTCAGAACGATAAGAGAAGAGGAAGTTTCGTTGCTGGTCAAGAACATATCTGAAGAACACGTTGGTTCTGTCATGGACCTTCGTAAGAAAATGATGCCGCTCACAAATTCAATAGTTGCACGTGCAGCTTTTGGTGAAAGAACAAAGAACGTAGAAGAAATCTTGTCGAATTTGGCATATGGGATTCAACTGGCGAGTGGTTTCTCAATTTTTGATCTCTTTCCTTCACTCAAAATCCTTCAAGTGATCACTGGGACGGAAGCGAAAGTTAAGAAGGTGGGCAACGTGATTGATAGGACGCTTGAAAATATCATCAATGACCACAAAGAAAAGAATGGTGAAGCAAAGGAAGAGGATCTCGTCGATGTTCTCTTGAGAGTTCAAAAGGAGAATAACTTGGAAATTCCCTTAACTCTAGACAACATCAAGGGTGTTATCTTGGTTAGTATGTTCTTATTAAACCTCAATTCAATATGAAGGACCCTATTATTAAGTTGCATTTTTTCTAACTTATGAAATATGAGATCTTACATGGTATACTAATGTGGTTCCTAATGTTCATTTCAGGACATTTTTGTCGGTGGAACTGACACTGCAGCAACAACTGTGGAATGGGCGATGTCAGAATTGCTGAAAAACCCAGAGAAAATGGAAGAGGCACAAGAAGAGGTGAGAAGGGTGTATAAAGACAAAGGATATGTAGACGAATCAAAACTTGATCATTTGAAGTATTTAGGAGCAATCATTAAAGAAACCATGAGGATGCACCCACCTTTGCCACTGCTAGTTCCAAGAGAAAACAGTGAACGCTGTGAAATCTATGGTTATGAGCTACCTCACAAGACTAAGGTCATGACCAATGTTTGGGCGATTGCAAGAGATCCCAAATATTGGAATGAACCTGAGAAATTTCAACCAGAGAGATTCATTAACAGCTCAATTGATTATAAAGGAACAGACTTTAAGTATATTCCATTTGGTGCTGGAAGAAGAATATGCCCAGGAATCACATTTGCTTCTGTTGTTATTGAGCTTGTTCTCGCCAATTTGCTTTACCATTTTGATTGGAAACTTCCAAATGAGATGAAGTGTGAAGAGTTGGATATGACTGAATCCTTTGGTGCCACTGTGAGAAGGAAGAATGGTTTGTGGGTTATTCCTAGTGGTTATCATCAGTCTTAACGCTATGATTACGACCTATTTTGGAAAAAAAGAAAAGACTATAATTACTTATTACTACTTTAGTCAATAAAGGATGATTCGGTGATCTGCAAGTCATTGGATCTATGTTAAAGATGAGAGTTTTTTATCCCAACAGAAGAGATGGCCGGTGGAAGCAAAGTTAATAAAACAGAAAAGTGAAATGTTTGTGGTGTAGAATGAGAGTATGAATAATCCATGCTTTGTACTCTCTCTATTTTGATATTTGTGTGTTTTTAGAAGAATCTTTCTTGTTTGACTTTACATGTAATTTTAATAGTTCAATATATCATTTAGTGATATTCTCTTTATTATATTCTTATTTACAATTTTAATGCAGCATCTAGAAGCCAAAATTCTGAATCCCACTATATTTTGTGATAAATTAAGTCCAACTTTTTTCCCCCCAAAAAAAAAAAGTGCAACTTACTCTTATTGCTGTCTTCCTCCTCCTATCTATCTTATCAGGGACCACGATTGCATATGCTTGGAAGTTTTGATTTATAATTCATATGGAATGAGTTTGATGTGTATATTATTTTCTTTTTTTGTTTTGCATTATATATGATGATGCAGCTTACACATCCTTTAGCTTATGGCATTCATAAGATATCAAAATGTCTATCTAATAATATTTTTTTAAAAAAAAAAGTTAAGAAATTGAAGTATCATTTTGCGCCAATCAACCAGATAAAGAATGTTGTCCGTAAGGGTTATGAACCAATTTATATATTTAATGGTCTTATAATTTTTTAAAGTATTGATTTATTTTATAAGATTATTTTACGCACACACTTTTTATTTACGTATGTTTGCGTAGAAAATTAAATATACTTTCAAATATTCAATAATGAAAAAACACAAAAAAAATAAATTGAATTGCTGTAAAAATATTTCCACGAATTCTAAATTAGTTTCCCGATTGGCTGACGCTGACGATTCTACATTCCCTACCTCGTGGCGCACGAGAAGGCAAAAAGACAAAAAGTTGATGAGACGATAATCTCTCTCTACTTTTTTCTCCCCCCCTTGCCTCATTCCTGTTATTAAATTACCAAATAAATGGTTGAGATTTAATAATTTATAAAACTATCTTTTTTATTTTCAGGTAGTCTTCGGATTAAACTTTACAAATTGAATTTATTTATTTTTTACAATATTATAATCATAATTTTATAAATTATTAAATTTTAACTACTCATTTAGACTATATTTGGATTTCCGTTTGCAGTGGCAAATATGCCTGAAAAAATATAAAACACACCTTGGTAGCTTATTTGAAGAAGTCTAGTTGTTGGGCACAACGTTTTTGTAAATGGACTTTTTGTTTCATCTTACGTTGCAAATGACGCAAATGATGCTATATTTTGCTACGTCAGATGTAAAAGTTTATTGCTTATATGATAACCTTATTGATGAGTGATTTGTAAGTATCTTTATTAATACTTTTTGAGCTTAAAAACATATCCTGACTCTGGTGAGTTTTCACCTAAATTTTTTGGTGTAAAAAAAAAAAAAGACATAAAAGTCCATTGCCAACATGGAAAGAGAAGCATAACAGTGATGAAAAGACAAAAGTCTACCTTATATTGTTGTGGAAAAAAATAAAATCATTAAAAAACCCAATAACTTAATTGTTTGCAAAAGTATCTAGGCAAAAAATAATTAATAAAATTTAATAATAAGAGTACACTATAAGCCCAATCGACATGTATTGCTAATTTTCAATTGAGCTCTAAAAGTCTGTATAATTAAAATAAAATAATATTCAATAGCTATACGTACAAAAATTACATTAATATATCTAATTAAGTATTTTTTTATTATTTATAATTTTTCTTATAATACATTAACTCTTTATTTTTATACTTTTAATCTTAATATTTTTCTTAAATTTATTAGATTATATACATTTTATATATAAAATAAGACTCGCACTCCTTTTAGTTGCTTTACATCTAAACTTATTTTTCAATTACTCATTCAAACAAGTTTCAATTTATCAAGCTAATTTTTTTTATAAACACTAATCTAAACATAAATCATACTACGTTCAGTCCTTAATATAAGAGTTAGTTGACTAATTTGAGTAGATTAAAAAATAGTTAAGTTAGTTATTTGTATAAAAAATAGATAAATATGAGAGACAAAATGGATTAAAATCTTATATATATGACCAAAATAAAAGTTAAACGAGTTTTATATTAAAGAATGATGGTAGTATTATACTAGCTGAATTTTATCCTAACTCATGTCTGGTGTTAATCCAAATGTACCCTTAACAGTTCAATGATAGGAATAAAATGAGGGGAAAGAAAAGAAAAAAGAAAAATACCATAAAAATGCTTTTAAATTTTAAAATTTTAAATCAACCTTATTTACTATACATTAATAGCAATTGATAATATTTGAAAAGCAAATGACAACATATTTTTAGAACTATTCCTGATTTAGGATTTTAAAATTTTAAAAGTATTTTTTGGGAATTTTTCCAAAGGAACAAGGGATGAGAAGATAATCCAAAAGCTAAATCTCTCCTGCGTGACACACGAAAAAGGTAAAACATCGCAAAACACACTTAGGAAGCACTCAGCACTTAAACAGCAAAACAAGTGGGTGGTGTCATCATTATATCAATGGAATATATCCCTCCTTGGTCAACACTTCTCTTGATACCTTTAATTCTAAAAATTAAAAAAAAAAAGAAGAAGAAGAAAAGAAAACATGAATGCCGGAATATTCATTAAATTTTAAGATTGATATGATATAATTTCCCCCAATTCATTGTGCTTTAAAAAAAATCATTTCCTATTGTTGGCCGTTTCATTTAACATTGGATGAATCTGAAGCAACGCAAATGTGTCTTTTTTTTGGTTTTGTTTTATTAATATATATAATGAGTATAAATTAGTGACGAGGGTTAAGTTTGACGGAAAAGACTAATCTCTTTCACAACAAATGCCTGTTGAGAGAGGTATACATATTTAATACTTCATAGGCAATAGTTTCATGAATGAGATTACCTATAATCGGAGAATTTTGTGATTATTATAACAAACTAAAGAAATTTTTATAAATTATTTTTATTATGTTCAAAATTTATAAAATTATAAAATATTTTCAGTCATTGAACTTACTTTAAGATAGAGAGAATGAAACATTAAAAATACAATATCTTATAGGATAGTGTGTGTGTGTGTGTGTGTTCTTCAAAAAAGGAATAATTTACAGAAGTTGTATTTAAGAGCGATATATCTCAACAAAACGCACCAAATGAGGATGATAATTTGCAAAATGGGGCTTTCAATTATTAAATGTATGCATAATTATAATTCAACGCCGCGTTATAATTAAGATTTTTTTAAAAGAAAAATATGAAGTTCATGTAGTTTGGGTCTTAAGATTTTTTTTTTAATATTGACACCAAGCAAAATGCTGTTACTTCCTATAAATAAAATAAAATAAAATAAACTCTAAAAAAAATTTCTTATAAAAAGAATCAAGACAAGTATGAATTATTTATTTTGTAATAATTAATTATCTTTTGTCTGGTTGTTTATTAAATATAAAAATTTATTGATATTGAACAAAAAGGTAGTGGAGCACTAACCACCAACGACCAGTGAATAGGAGGATATCCCAGTCCCACTAGCAATCTATTCCTCGGATCAACCGCTGAATGGTCGCATTAACACTATGTTTGGTATGGGGTTTTCGGAGGGGAGGGGAGGGAAGTTGCTCCCCTCCCCTTGTTTGGCTGGTATAATTTTTTAGAAGGGGAGGGGAGCTCCTCCCCTCTCCTTGTTTGGTTAAGATGTTTTTTAAAGAGGGGAGGGGTTCTTCTCCCCTCCTCTTCCCTTCTAGCCTCCCCTCCAAAAGTGAGGTTTTTTGAAGGGAAGGTGAGAGATAATATTTTAATTCCTTATATGCCCTTTCGATTTGTTAACCTCTAATCAGTCATAAACATTTTTACATAAGAGAGTTCTTTTGAGTATCTAATAAGAGGTTATTAAGATAATTATCTCCAAAATTAGCGAGCATTTGTAAACTTTTTTTCTCCTCTTCTAATTCTAAGAGGCCGTTAGTATTTTCTTTCACCTTCAAGGTCTTTTCTCTGATTTAAATATATCACTTGTGACTTTTTGTCTTGATATTCTATAAGTGTGTGACTGTATCTTGCAAATCAAAATTAGTGAATTGTATTATATATATATATATAGTTATATATTAACAAAATAAAAAGTGAGAAAATTCATTTAAATTTTATGAGGCTAAAATAGTCAATTTTTTATTAGAACAAAATAAGGTATTATTAAAATTGCTCCCTCCCCTCCCCTCCAATCAATCCAAACAGGAGATCATTAAAATCCCTCCCCTCCCTCCCCCTCCCCTTTATAGCTACCCTCCCCTTTCCTCCCCTCCCCTTCCCTTGATTAAAATCCCTCTCCTCCCCTTCCCTCCGTCGAGCCAAACATAGCGTAAAGGTCGGCAAAAACGTTTCATTATTACGATTAATGACTTGACCTATAATGCCTCCCTAACACAACAATTCTTAAAATTCTTATACATAAGCCTTTACATTCAATTAGGCCTCTCTGTTCAATACAAATATTGTTTGGTATTTTGTACTCCTCCAATCCTTAATATAAGATACATTTAACTAACTTGATTAGATTAAGGAAGTTAGGTAAGTTAGTTAATTATAAGAAATATGATACATTTTTCCTAAAACACCACAATCATCTTTCTTAATACCTCATATTCCTCTTTTACTTGATTATGGTTGAGAGAGTATCTATAGGGGTAATTTAGAGAAAATTAATAAATATGATGAATAAGTCTTATATTTAGGACCAAAACAAACTCAAGAATTGGGTCCTATATAGATTGGAGGAGTATTATTTCTATAGATTAATACCATTTCCGATCATAAATATAAGAACTAGATAAAAAGTTCATTTCATATTAAATATGAGATCTTAATTTTCTTTGTTTCTTAAATTTATAATTTATTCTTCAAATATTAATATTAATTGTACATAGTAAGGGAGTTCCCACCATGAAATACTAATGATGCATATGACTAGAAATGGTATTTTAGAAAAACTAATATATATTTATTATAAATAATTAACTTAGCTAATATTCTTAATATATAGTATAAATTAGTTATTCAGATTTTATATGGCAAAAAGTTTATTTAATTTTTTTATTAAGAATTGTAGGTAGTACTTCCTCGGGTCCTATTTATAAACTTCAAACTAGGGGCGGGGTGTGATATATTTTATAACTTTCAATTTGATGTCTTTTCAATTTTATCCTTAATTATTTATTTTCTCTCTTTTGTCATAATCTCTCTTATTACATTTTCCCACACACTCTCTTTCCTCTTTTTTCTCATTTATTACAAAGGCATATATGAAAACAAAAATATATTTCTAACTCTTAACTAATTTTAACTAATTATTTGTTATTTATAAATTAATTTTTTGAAGCTTATAATAAGGATAAGAAGAAGTGTTATTTTATTTTTTTTTATAAAAGGAAATATTGTTTGACACTTCACTTTATTCCTCGCATTCTGGTAAAAAAAAAAAAAAAACTTTATTCTTCGCATTGACTTTACTATTCAACGGGAATGAGTCGCGTTCGCAGTAACGGTCGGAAGAAACGTACTGCGATTAATGACTATTGATGATTTTTTTTTTTTTGCCAGAATTAAGGACTATTGACTGATGCCAAAAAACCAAGGAAAGGACTTATGATATAAATTATTTAGATTAAATTGACATTGTTGACTACTTTTAATTATTATATTAGTTGTTTATTGAATATATTGGTTTCATGAGGATCTTGACAGATACAATGAAGTGCTCGTAGTTAATTTGGTGAAGTTTGCAGTCTTTCGGTCAGCTTGACGTTTAGCAAGCGAGGCAGCCACCTTCTTTGAAAGTAATCTAACTAACTCTTTCTTTGTTTATGTTTTCTATTTTATTCTTATTGAATACAATAAAAAAAATGCGTAAAAGAAAATGTACAGCGTTTTTCTTAACACCATTTCTTTAATAGGAAAAAATACAAAAAAATTTATCAATTTAGTACATTTTTTTGTGACACTAATTTAATGTATTTCTTGATATACGAGAATGGGTACATGTGACTTATATGGAGGAACAAAGTGTTATCTCACATTTCTCAAAATTTATATGTAGAGGTACGGTGTGTGAAATAAAAAATTAACTACTTATCAATTCTAGTTATTTATACGTGCAGTGACATAGAAAAGTTTGACATGTAAATGCAGAATTTTAACTTGTAAATGGGATTAAGAAAGTAATTAATTTTCTTACTTGATTACTTAATTATAATCGGCCTTTTTTTATATTTAATAATTTTTGGTTGGAAAAGGAATATTGAATTAGCATAGAATAAGTACTTAGTCAAACCATATAGGATTTGGAAGATTACACATTCTGTTAGTGGAGTGTGATTTCCCTGTGCCATAAACAAGAAGCTTAAGGAATATTTAATATAATTTAACATGTTTGGTATGAATGAATAATTAAAGGATATAGAGAGATGACAAAAAAAAAAAAAGGAAATGAGAGCAAAAATGAGAAAAATACTTAATTGACCTAATTAAAAATCTTTATTACTCTAGACTTGTAAGCTTGATATACTTTGTAATTTAGATTCAAAGTCAAACATTTGAAGGATTTTTAGCTCCGCAAGCACAGATTCTTGTTTGGGATATTGACTATAACTAGATGGTTCAAATATAATGTTGATTTCCAAGTTTCAAATTAGGTATTTATGAATAAATCACTTATATTATCATATAATAGTTTAACACATCATTTGACATTTCGATTATAATTTCAAAGATAAAATCATTAAATTTAGCACCGCCAATTTTTCATAGAAAAAATTTAGGTCAAATAAAAGTATCATAAGTATTCATTTTGTAAACCTAACAATATTTTCCAAGTGCATGTAATCATTCATCATCTTATCACGCGGACTTACCCAACCAATGTCTTTTTAATTTTTCTTAAGTGGCATGGAATTCTCGAGGCTATGGAGGCTTATCCTTTGACATTATTTAATAAAATCCCATATTTTAATAATATATATAAATACTCCACCTATTTTTAAAATAAGAATCTAAATATCTTATTTAATCATAACATATATGACATAATTTTCCTAAAATAATTTTCTGTAATATTAGATTATATATCCATTTATAAGTTAAATAAATTAGTTTTGAAAAATAATAAATATGAGAGATAAAATGAATTGAGATATCATATTTTGGATGCAACACTATCTACCTATATCTATATTTAAGATTAGAGAAGTATTATGTTTATATTTGAAAATTTTTTAAAAGTACATCAAAATTACTTGCTTAACAAATAATTAATGATTAGTACGGAAAATGGACGAAGTTAAAAAAATTTAGAATATTAACTATAGTGCTATTTTTCTTAGACAGTATGCTTTATGTAAAAATGAATTTAATTTAAATTTGAAATCAATGTAGGATAAATACAATATATAAATTATCCCCATCTTTTAATCTTTTAACAACTTTTATCGGGAAATAAATATCAGCGCAGGATGAGAATTCCCTGCAACTTGAGAATTTAAAATGTCATATTATGTAATGGAGTGTGATTCTGATGAGCCGTCAACGAAAGGAATTAGTTGGCCAAAAAAACAAAAGAGGAGTTAAGTCCTAAGTAACTCCTGGCCCATTTGTAAGTTTTATTAATTATATCATTTTCATGCATTACATGAAATTTTAAAATACATTATATTATTTACTATTTGTTAATAATGTAATTCACTAAAAATTATATAAGTTATCTCATACTTTAATGTTAATATATTGATCATAATACAGATTTAACTTCGGTGAGTAATTCAGCCCATCTTTGTTTTTTTTTTAATTTTTTTTTGCCAACGGAAAATTCATCCCATCGTAAAGCATAATAGAACTTGATCACCAAAATAATTGTTTAATATCTTTTTATTTATTTATTTTTGACATTAGAATAATGTAAATAATCTTGGGTTATGTGGGGTCTTGACTGGTAATTAATCTAATATTACTTATTACATTCGTACGTATGTACATATACACACACACATATCTTTAATTCTTATTTTAAATATATTTATAGGAAAGCCAATGTAAGAAAATAAAATTTTTCTCTTGCTAAAAATTATACAGCATAAAAGAATATGATGAATTTAATTTTTTTTCATCCTTCTTAAATATATTATATACAATTCCTTTTGTAATAAACAAAAATGAATTACAAATTAATATTAATTCTACTCGATTCTGAGATTAGTACTATGCCTATCGATATTGACCATTTACATATATTTTAATATCGTTTTTAATTTTTCGTTTACTAACGATGATGGCGGGCGTTGCAGGCCGGGAAAAAAATAAAAAGAATGATGGGGGACGACCGAATTAAGAAATTTCCAAAAGACAGGCGGAGTGTTCATTCTTTTACTTTTGAATTTTCAACCATATACATGAAAGAGATCGTGATAATACGATATTTCCAAAAAAGGAAAGGAAAGAAAAATCCACCAACTTGTTAACGCATGACACTTATTTTAATATTTATAAATTATCAATATTTGGAAGTTATATTACCACTAATCTATAACAAAGTTGAGTTTGTACGTAAAATCATATTTCTTTTCACATAGCTTTAATCTAATATCCTATTTTTATACTCATTTCCTAATAGGATTAATTTAAAAAAAATTGATAAACATATAAAATAAGTCTTATATAAAGGACCAACATCAACTCTTCAATTAAGTCCTGTATGAAATCCGACTCGTTCTGACATCACCGGGCATGACAAGATTTTATAGATGAAGTAGTAGATAGATTCGTCATTTTGACGAGTAATAATGTAATATGAGCCATAAACAGTTTAACTCATCCTACAATAGACTTCATACAATACTAGCCATTCACACAAGTGGGGGGAAAAAAATCCTACAGTGAATTCCATTTCATTAAAGTACTATTGGAGAAAGCATACATTTCAAACCTCAAATACCTACTTTATTATAATTCAGTGATATGAAAACTTCCGTGTAAGTGGGAGACCGCAAGTGCAATACCATTTATAATTTTAGGTTGTAAGTCTCTGCATGTCTTTCTAAGTAGGGGGAAAAAACTCAATCGCATGGTTTTTTTATTGTTTTAAATAAAGAGCAGGGATTGACTTCAAAGTCATCTTTCACGGTACAGTCATGTGACGGCGGCTTAACGGAAAATTCTGGTGGTGCCATGTTCACCGTTTGCTTGGAAATATCTATCTATTCTTTTTCATCCCCTCATGCATAAGAGATTTCCATCAAGCGGAAGAGGGAAAAAAAATAATTTATTCCTAAAATTAGATAACTTCGACTTGTGAAAAAAAACACACACATGCACACTATATAAATGTTGCATCGGCCATGGCCATATACATTGGAAGAGGATTACTTCAACAGGAAGAAGCAAAGCATCAATGGCTTCTCAATCCATCTTGCATCACTATTATTCTCCGTCCTTTCCTTCTTCTTCAACCCGCCATGACTTGTCTTCTTCCTCTTCCATTAGTTCCCTCCCCATCCATCTTCCCTCTAACTGCACCTTTCCTGGTAATCTAATTACCATCGTCATCTCTTGATCGTCTTTACGAGGATATTAATTTACTGTTCTCTAATATTGCTTAATTATATGCTGTTCCAGAGGCTTCGGGGTTGAAGGCTAAAGTCATAGTTTCACAGAAGAATAATTCTGACTTGAGAGCAAAAGGCACCAGAAGCATATCAGAGCCAAAAACTTCATCAGCACTCGTGGAAGGTCTGACAATCCCGAAATGGAATTGGAAGAGTGGGATCGATCAGGTGAAGCGAGAAGATGAACAAGCTTTGGAGGTACGTATAGTTTTATCAAACACTTTGTTGACGTACGTACGATGTTGTTAATATTAATGCAGCGAGTTTGATGAGTTATATGTGAATGTCACGTATTGTTTTGATATGAAAATTAGGGTTCTGTGATGAACGATGAGATCAGAAAGAGAGTGGAAGGCATTAGAAAGAACTTGGAATCAAAAGAAGGAGAGAAGAGTATATCACCATCGGCTTATCACACAGCACTGTTCGCGCTGGTTGAAGACGTGAATGGAAGTGGGGCCCCTCAGTTCCCAGAATCTCTTCAGTGGATAATAGAGAACCAGCTGCCAGATGGATCCTGGGGAGATGTTCATAAGTTTGTGGCTTATGATCGGCTTCTTTGTACCTTAGCTTCTGTTATTGTCTTAACACACTACAACCTTCATCCTGAAAAGGTGGAGAAAGGTATATGACTCTTGATTATGTCAGGAAATCTCCGATCTTAATATAAGAACCATTTAACTAATTTACGTAGTAAAATAGATTAATTAGGTATAATAAATATGATCTAATCTCTCTTACATACTTCTTCATGATGTGAGGTGAGTGGTTATAATATTTATTAAATAATAATGGAAGCGAAGAAATTATAGTGAAAGTGATGTCTATACTTATTTTTAAACACAGGGCTAAGATTTTTCAAAGAGAACGTGAACACTCTGGAAACGGAAAACAGAGAGCATATGACATGTGGGTTTGAAGTCATTCTGCCAACACTTCTGCAACGGGCAAAAGGTTTGAATATGGATCTGCCTGATGACTTCCCTGGCCTCCCGGAAATACTTGCAAGGAGAGATGCCAAGCTCAAAAAGTATGTATACTACTATATCATTATTTAATATAAGAGCTAATTTAACATTTAATTTGGTCCTAAGTATAAAACCCCAATTTATTTTATCTCTTATATTTATTTATTTTTTTTAAGGTAGCTCTTCTAATAGTTGCACATATTAAATGTTTTATCAAATGATAGCTGTAGCTATACACTTGATTACTAAGAATATTTTAGAAAAAATAACACATATTCATTACAAACAACTAATTTAATTAATTTTTTTAATATACTCAAATTGATCAATTAGCTTTTATATTAAAAAACAGAGATAGTACTGATTATGGATATAATAGAAAGATTCAAAGATTCAAACTTTATGAAGAACTATTCTCTAAATTGCCCCCATGATACCCAAATACATGTGTCTTGTGTTGACTGGTTTATTTTATGATGGGACAAAAGGATACCGATGAAGGTGTTGCAAAGTGTTCCAACGACGTTGCTGTTCAGCTTGGAAGCGATACCAGGCCTTCAATGGGATAAGCTTCAGAATGTGAGAAGCAAAGATGGCTCTTACTTGTTCTGTCCTTCTTCCACTGCCTTTGCTTTCACCCAAAGCAAAGACCCTCACTGCCTCAATTACTTGAACACTGTCGCCCAAAACTTTAATGGCGGCGGAGGTATCTCAACGCATCTTACAATAAATGAATTCCCCTTTATGATTATGGAGATGGTATTAAATTTTGAAGGAGATGTGACATCATTAATTAGTATGTCTTTGTATGAAATTGCAGTCCCAGATTTCTATCCCGTAGAATTTTTTGAACAGTTATGGATTGTTGACCGATTGGAGCGCTTGGGGATCGCAAGATATTTCCAACCACAGATTAAACAGATTCTGGAGTATGTCCACAGGTATAACTTAACCATCTGTAAATATCTCTTCCTTTCAACAGCAAACCACCTTAGGATTTTGTCCTGCATATGATTGTTTAAACTTATTAAAAAGTTGCTCTGATTTGAGTTCAAACCTCAAATGAAACGAGTAAAATGGAAAAGAACAATATAGAATTCAGATCAATACACTAACAATAACTCTTATTCAGAAATTGGAATGAGAGAGGCATTGGGTGGACCAAAGATTCAGACTTGCCAGATCTTGATGATACATCTATGGGATTCAGACTGTTAAGATTAAACGGCTATAATGTTTCAGCCAGTAAGTTGAAAACCATGTGTTACTGATCTATGTCAATAAATATCTGCTAATTAATCAACCCATATATGACAAATTAAAGAAAAATACTAATGAATCAATGAAAATGGTATCATATTTTGAACAGATGTATTTAAAACGTTTGAGAAAGATGGAGAGTTCTGCTGCTTGCCTGGGCAAACAGATGAAGGAGCAACAGTGATGTTTAATTTTTACAGAGCCACTCAATTTCAATTCCCTGGAGAGACAATTCTTGATGAAGGCAGGAAATATGCAACCAATTTCTTATCCAAAAAACGAGCTGATAATCAGATTCTTGATAAATGGATCATAGCCAAAGATCTGCCTGGCGAGGTATTTATATAGGCCTTGAAGAATATTGTTGAATTAAATTTGCTTCATACAAGTATAAATCAAGCTCTTTAACCAATAACACAGGTGAGTTATGCATTGGATTTCCCCTGGTATGCAAGCTTGCCCCGAGTAGAGACTAGATTTTACTTAGAACAATATGGTGGTGGAGATGATGTCTGGATTTCCAAAACCCTTTACAGGTAACTTTGCTTTCAGATATTCCACCCTAAATCATTAATATTCTGTGTTAGTCCTAAATGGATTATTAGTACAAGGTATAATATAATCCAATTGGTTACTAATTCAAACCACAACAAAACATGTTTTTTCCCCCCCTTCTCAGGCTGCACAAAGTCAGCAATGATGATAATCTTGAACTTGGGAAGCTAGATTTTAACAAGTGCCAAGACTTGCATCGCAGAGAATGGAAAAGGATTCAAGAGTAAGAAATGCGTATAAGCTTAATTAATGTCTTTTGATTCCCTTAGTCTCACTTTGTTCATAAATATATAATTTCCATTATAGGTGGCATTCAGAATGTGGACTAGAAGAGTTAGGATTGAGCAGAGAAAGGCTTCTCGTGGGTTACTTTCTGGCAGCAGCAAACATATTTGAGCCTGAGAGATCTCAAGAACGACTTGCTTGGGTTAAAACTCTTGCTCTCACTGAGGCCATCTCATCTAAGTATCAGGACCAAGATGAAAGGAAAGCCTTTGTGTATGAATTCAATAACAGCAGCACTACCTCCTTATATCAGCGGTAATTAAACATATAACTCAGTCCTTCCATTTATCATTTGTCTTCTTTTCACCGTTTAAAGTTATTTTCTTACTTATATAGAATTTAAACAGCTGAGGTGTTGTTTTTCTTACATCGCAGATGGCTGAATAAAAACAGGAGCAGGGAGGGGCTACTGGGGACTTTAATAGAAACATTGCACTCCTTCTCTCTGAGCTCACTTTCTGCTAGTTTCGATATTCTTCATGATGCAGTAAGTCTATTATATTATTATTCATCAACTTTTGATGATAAAAATACAATATTGGGTAATTTCATTTGGGACTATTTTGATATTTTCGAATGCATGCAGTGGAAGAAGTGGCTATTGGGATGGCAAAGCGAAGGAGATAAGTGGGAAGGAGAAGCTGAGCTGTTGGTGAACATGATCAACATAAATGCAGGCTACCAACTTCCTCATCACTTGCAAATCAATCCTCAGTATCAGAGACTTGTTCAACTCTCTAATCAAATCTGCCACCAATTAAGTTCTCTCCCAACCACCAAGGAAAAGAATAGTAATGGAAGGTACAAGGGGAAGGCAGAAATAGGAGAGAAAATGCAAGAACTGGTGCAAGTAGTGCTGTCTTCTAATGGCATGGATCTCAATACGAAGAAGACATTCCTTGCTGTGACTAAAAGCTTTTATTATGCAGTTCATACTGATCCAGACACTGTCATGTCTCATATACAAAAAGTTCTCTTTGAGAGGGTTATGTAATATTACTTTCTCAAGAGAAACGTACAATATTAAGGAAAAATCATAAAAAAAACTGCCCAAATAGAAAAATTGCAAATAGAGACTTATGACAGCATTAATATGGGTTTTGACAACAATTTTTGTGAATGGGTCTCTATATGCAATTTTTCAATTTTCAGGGTCTTTTTTTTAATTTGCCCCAATATCAATCCCTCTATATGTGTGTGTATGTATGACTTGTAATTTTAGGAACGTCTTCTAGAAAATAAATCAGCAGAAGTTTGAATAGAATAGTTCCTCCGGAGTTATGTATCATATTAGAAGAGTTTGAATGTACAGACAAAGGTGAGAATATGGGTCGTCCTGACCTTACAAGGCTGGCCGTGTAGGGCTGACGAGCTTGAAAAGACTAGTCTTGTAGGGCTAAAATTTCAAAATTTTCCCAATTTGTTAGACCCGACCTTTAAGTTGACGGGCTCAGGGCTAGCTCGCAAACTTTTGGTCTGTTTAAGAAAAAATACTATTTTTCATATTTATCACATTTTTTATAAAAAAAAATAAAATAAACCAATAAAATTATTAATAAAAGATATAAATATGAATAAAATTAAATCACAAATACAAAATATCATTATATATAAATATCCATCAACATTCAAGAACATCTAAAACATTCATTAACAAGATAACAACATCTAAAAGTTTCATCTATAATGTAAATGTGCAATAAACAAATACTATCATTAATCTTTTGAAGCTTCATCATCACTGTAATCAAATACTCTTTTTCATAAGCATACTTTTCTTTCGTAACAAAAATATCAAGTTTTTTTTTTATAGAAATTTCACTTTTAAATTTTACAGTCTAGCTATTATTTTCCTTTAATTTGAAAAATATTATTGTTGAAACTCATAAACTTCTAATTCAAATTATAGAATCACAAGTTATATAAGTATAAAAATACTCTCTTATCAAATATATATAGTTTAAAAATATCAACACATATAATATAAATCAAATCATTATTAAAGTCCAAATTAACCCATTTTTTAAAAACTTAATTGGATAAATGATTGTCTAAAACTAAATAAATCAAACCATTATGTGAAATTTAATTTTAAAATGATAATAATAACTAAATATTTAATTTTATTGTATATATACATGCAAATTTGAAGATGAGTTGTCTCTATACTAAGAATTCTATCTGTATTAAATAAATAATACTAATTCTGGTTTTAAATATAAGATTTAATAAATAGATGTTATATTTAGGATCAGAGGTAATATCTTAAATATTTTTATTTTTTTAATATTTAAAATTACTAAATATGTGAAAATATAAATAAAATAAAAAGTATTGTTGCAAGGACACCAAAACAAAATGTGTGGAAAAGTATTATAAGAATAAAAAAGTTACATTGAAATCAGGAAGGGTCGCATTGTTTTAATAAGAAAAATGTGAAAAGAAATTATAAATTTAATGCATTTTTTGGTTTACGGATTTGAGATACAAGTAACTTATAAATAGAGATAGAATGATATAATTTTTTAAAGTGTAGGAGAATATACTAATTTATTTATCACTTTCTGAAAATATTGCATTAGTCCACTTTGTTTTTTCTGAGCAACACGCCAATACCATAAAAACAATAAAAATTGTTATCTTAAAAAAATTGTCATTATTCCCTTTTGTTTTGCCAGCAAAAAGTTGTCATTATTCTAAACTTAAGAAACAAAACAAGTAAACAACAATTTTATGCTGCCTTCTCTTAACTGATTTTTTCTACTATCTTAATCGAATGGAGTGCAACTTTTTAAATAGTTTTATCATTTTTGTGTAAAATTCTTATTATCCTAATTTTTGTCTATAATTAATAATGTGAAGTCAGAAAGTAGAGAGAGAATAAGAGAAGAAGATTAAAAGGGAGGAGAGAGTAGAGAGTGAGTGCATAAAAAAAGAAATGGAACAGAGGGAGTTTTTATACGGTGTGATGTCAAGATATTAAATGCCATGTGCCTTTGCGTTTTTCAGCCGCAGATTAAATGAAAGGCTAGGATTAGGAAAATGGAGGGAAATGGATGAAAAAAGAAATGGAGAGACCCTGTGCCGTGTTCATACATTATAAATAACGTAATGCATATGTATATGATATATTGATAATGACGAGGATACTCATTCGTCCTTTTTCTTTCTAATGAATGGATTCTCACGTGAGTATGACAAAATGACAAAATAAATAGGACTAATAAGATTTTTAGACATAGCACGGATATGTAAGGGATAAGACCCACGTAAGTGAGATATTGAAAAAACATAAAAATTATAACATTCACAAGTCATTTAATAATATAACTTATTATTTTAAATCCTATATAAGAACAACCTTTTTTTGAAAAAAGATAACAATCTTTACAATAAAAAATAAAAAAATACATTATGACTTATAAATATAATAAGAAGTCTTCTCTTATTCTTATAAATAATACTCTTTTAATTTTAAATATAAAATCTATTTTATAATATAAAATAGATTTTATATTTAAAATTTAAGACTGAACGAGTAAGAATAGTAGTAGTAGTGAGGTCACATTTTAATAGTAGTAGGAGCAGACATGGACTAGTAGTAAGTGATTATTCCGCCGGACATGGCACAATTGAATGTCAAACATCAAAGGCTATACGACTTTTAATAGTCAACAAATTTATTATCTTCCCAGTTACTTGCGAGTTATGACAATGACAGTTTATCAAAACCATATTTCTCTTTTCCATGTTTGATATAGTTTTTCATAAATTAGAGATCAAGCAATATTTACTTCTCTTTTATTTCATTTAAATTACGTATTTCATCAATAATCTAATAACTAAGTTCAAAATAAAAATAATAAATAAGGAGGATTGCAAAGAGAATCCAAATTTCATCAGAAGGCATGTATGGGAGAAAAATTTACTTGTTTGATTTTTCTTTGGGCTAAAAGATTCAAATTTGGTTGGTTGATCAATAATTGAAAATTATGCAATTTTTGACTGAGTGTTCGATTTAGTTGCAGAATATTCAGAATAGAGCCAAAAAGAAGTTAATGCGATTAGGAAATGTCCCTTCTTTTCTACACAAAGAAAAATAATTTCTATAGAAAATGCCAATAGTAATGAAATACGAACAGTTTGAACAAATGAGCACTTTGAAGTTTGAATTGAACAGACAACAAAAGTGAGAAATTAAAGTTGAAAGAAACAAAAGGCATTCAATCAAGGCAGTATGATGATTTTCCACTCCATGACGGGTGCTGCTGAAAAACACCAGATATACTAAAAATTACTAATATAAAATATTTTAAGATATCAAATATTATTAAAAAAATAATTTAAGATGTTGACTGACCTAATTAAAAATTAAACATACTGAAAAATATTTGAAGATAGTAGATGTAACTTGATCATTTTTTCCACACATTCTCTATCAATCTCTTTTTCCTTTTCTTTACTTGTACTCTCTCACTCCTTCTCTTCATACATAAGAATATACTTAAAAAAAACTAAACACTACCCTCATTTTTAATATAAAAAATAGTTGAGAGATAAATTTAATCTTAAATATAAGATTTCAATTCATACTTTTTTTATACTTATTATTAATAATAATAATATTATTATTATTTTAAAACTATCCCTTTGCATCAACCATAGTTTTAATGCAAATATATAATTTAAGAGGATATTTTAAGAAAACCAACACATATTTTTTATAAATAAATAATTTAATTAGTTTTTTAATCTAGTATATTTTTTTGACAAATATATTGCATATAATCAATTTTAATCAATTTTTTAATCTATAATTAATTATAATGCTTGCAAAGTTGCACTATCTATAAAATCGGTGGGGGTTGGTTTTGGACTTAAGAAAACATCTTAGTCAATTAATCATAGCACTGGCACGCCACCACTTTGCTGGGTTGCTACTAGCGTTCCCCCCCCCCCCCATGTCTTTTCTTAATTTGGTCCTCTCTAGTAATTAATGCTAGAGGGAATCTAATCTCTCTCCCCCCCCCCCCCCAAAATCTGTATATATGTGTAGTATAAAAAAAAATCAGAATATTTTTAGGTGATGAATTATACAATTTATTTATAAATGTGGGTGACATATGGATCTATAAAAAAATATATTTTTATTTATTATGAAATCAATGTTAGCTAATAATACGGTTTTATCTCTAAAAAAATCACAATATTTATAATATTCTGCTAAGAGAAGAATGAAGAATAGTTGAAATTGTAGAACATGCATACAAATGCTGTGAGCAGTTGCCGTTTTGGACCCAGCTCAAGTCACAATGCCAAGATTCAAAACCTTTCGCTGGAAAAATAATTATAATAATAATAATTTTTATGACTCTGTAGGGTCACAAATTCCAACTCCAGTGAGCCATGTCAACGTCAATGGTGGAAAATTGTGCTTAAAAATATTTTTAAGGAAGAAATATGGCCAAGACAGAATCTTCATATCTCCAAATTCTAGAATATAATTTTCAACTGAGCGATTTTTCTAAATCTAAGGTAAGATTCTGTTATGTGGAAAACCAATTCATCTAATTTTTTTTTTAAAAAAAGATAAATGAAAAAAAATGTAAGCTACCTTTTTTGTAATAACTTTTACAGAGATCAAAATGCTAGAAGTATGATGAGGAAAAAAATAATATGAAAGATAAGAGGGGATAGAATATTATATCTAAGATTAAACTAAAACTCTCACAAATAAATCAAGATCAAAGGGAGGAAATTATAGAAAAATTATTTATAGATCTTAAATAAGAAAATTAAATAAATATAAGTTCTAACAATAAAAACACATACTTACTAGCCAAATTTAACTATTTATTTCACAAATCAAATTTTGATATTTATAAATTGAGTTGTATTATTTACAAGTGAAATTCAATTTTTAAAGCTCGTGAAAAATTAAATTTCCTGGAGCCTCTTGTATGAAATTGTTTTACCTAGGATTTATATTACAATTCCAACATCATTATTTCGGTTGTGAAAATGTACAAATATTGGCGTAAAGTTAAGGTAAGACCAAACTATTTTAACAATAATTCTTTTATCTTTATATGATGGTAAAAACTCTTTATATTTTTCAAGAAAGGCGTGCTAGTGCCAATACCAATGGTAAGTATTGGTTTTTTTTTTTTTTGGAAAAAAAGTATTTTGGAAAAGAAATGTGAGAGAAGACTTTCGTGGTGCCAACCAAAAAGTGCGCTTGAAGAAGTTAACAAAAGTGCCGTTTAAGTGGTGCGATATAAAGGAGTAAAATGTAGCACCAATATTGAGTTTCTTATTTATT